GTTTATAATGTCTTTCGTCCAAAAGAGGCGCATTTCAATTTTCTCCCATTGACTTATAATGGGGAGGTCGCAAAATTGACCTGACCTTAGGTCATCGATATCAAAATTCTGAGATATACATTTTGTACATGCTATTGCTCTTAGCAATCGCTGAAAGTTTCAAAGCGATCGGTCACTCGGTGTAGCTATGACAGACATTGAAACTTTTTATGAGGTGAGGTCACTTCAAGTGACCTGGTGACCTGACCTTGAATGACCTTGGTCTGAAATTTTCACAACATGTGTAGAATTGATGTATGATAAGGTGTACCAAAAACGGCGGCGCTCCGCGCCGCCGTTTTTGAGATATTCGCGAAAAACCACAAGGGGGGGGGGTGTTCAAACACCCCCCCCCCCAGCAGGGCGCGGGTTAAACGTTGGCTAGACCCAAACGAGCCCAGCTGGAAGGAGCTCGTAAAGGGCCAATTCGAAATATGTCGTGGTACGAACATTTTCCAATGTGAGATTAGCAATTCGCAAATACGTGAAAGGCACCTGCCGAGTTTTTGGGATCAGGCTTTAACAGCGTGGGCACAAATGCGGGATAGAGAAGAGGAGCCAGACAAGATAATGATGCAGGTGCTTTATTTAAACCAGAATTTAAACATCGAACAGTCGCTATCGGCTAGGCAGATTCGGAATATGAAAGAACTTAACGTTGTTCGCGTTAAGGATCTATACAACTTCTCTGCTAAAAGATGGCATACTGCTTTAGAACTGAAAAGCAAATGGAACAATTTAGATATCATGACGTGCAACACTCTTGTGAGCGTTGTGCCGTCATCATGGCGGCAAGTTCAAATGAACACGGAACCTAGATTAAGCTCAGATAAACATCTGGAGACAATGATGGCAGTAGGAAGCGTCACAAAATGGGCTTACAAAAAATTGGTTAAGCCTAAACTATTAGAGACATGTCAATGCGAAAACAAATGGAATGTGGAACTAGGCATTACACCTCAATGGAAGAAATGGTTTAAAATCTTGACGGAAAGTACTAAAAATATCGATTTGAGATGGTTTCAGTTTCGACTTGTGCATAAAATACTCCCAACACGTAAAATGTTGAAGATGTTCAAGTTAACGGACAACGACCAGTGCGTTTTTTGCAAACAAGCCCAGGAAACGGCAACACATTTATTAGTACGGTGTCCAGTAGTTGAAGTCTTCTGGAACAAAATATGGACGGGTTTCAAGCGCGGTAACATATCATATCGGAATGTTGAACTATTACCTCGAAAAATAATGTTTGGCTCATGTAAAGATAAAGCCCAAGACTTTAATCTGTTCTTGCTCCTGGCCAAATGGTTTATTTGGAAACAAAGTAGGAACGAGAGCATGCTTACGATGCGTTCATACCTGACTCATTTACGACAATATCAAAACGTGCAAGAATGTGTTTATAAAATCAACGGCAGAGTTGAGGAATTTAATACTCTTTGGGAGGCAACCTCAAAAATGATTAACATCCTCTCACAGGAATCATGCGCAACGATCGCGTCGGGGACGTGAAATGGTCGAGTTTTGTTTCCCCTGCTTAATGTTTCTGCGTGGTAACGAAGCTAGTTACAGGGACAGGCGTGTGGGATGTGCGGCGCCGGTCGTGTGGGACCAGACGCCGGTCCCACACGAGACCGCCGCGCCCAGATCGTATCGTAACCCTCAAGTGCCATGTACATACTATCGTCATGTTCGTATCTGTTCTAGGTGATAATGTAATAAATGTATATATATATATATATATATATATATATATATATATATATATATATATATATATATATATATATATATATATATATATATATATATATATATATATATAAAATATAATCTGACCTAACCTTACGGTATTAACCTACAACTACAAACCTACAACCTAGGTACTAATATGCAACCATAGGCAGCGAAACGAGGGGGCACCGGCCACTGGCCAGTCTGTAATGTATGCCATTTGGCAATTTCTAAGAGACCTCGTCAGTGCAAACTTGTTCGGCTGGCGCGGATTTGGTGCGGTACGGTGCAGATTTGCCTTGCAGTGCTTGCGGATATTGTGAAGTGTGGTGAAGCCAGTGGCATAGGCGGTCAGACACAGACCAGACGAGATATGTTTATGAAATCGAAAAAAATTGTTGAAGCTTCGATATCACGTAATTCAGTGTGCTCTCTGGTCTAAATAGTGTGCGGTGGTCAGAACGGACTGCCAGTACTGGTGCCTGGTGGTACCATCAATCACGGTGCGGTGGGTCACCCACAAGTTGGCATTCTTTGCACTGTTACAACACGAAACGTACCGGTCGGCTCTGCGAGGCGCCGGCGGTAGAGTGAGAGCTGAGCACGGCCGATGAGATGGATTCAATATTTGTACGGCCGATGGGAGGGCCAGAAAATCACCGCTCCTACGCTTCAAGCAGTCCAATGCGAACAATTTCAAGATTCTTCAAGATAAACAATTTATGGGGGATATCTTTGACGCGGCTAATATGATGCGCTGAAACTGGAAAGAATCTGAGTTTGTTGCATTCTGCAGTTTCTGCAGCATTCGTAAACGAGATGCGCTTGGCTCATGTGAGGGTTTGGCGTTGTCGCTCGGTGGTAGGTAGGGCGAGATACGCATGGCTGATGGCAGGCCTGGAGGACCAGCACTTTGCCGCGGCCAAGGCCACGGCTAAGTAGTCGAACCCGCTGTGAATGACTTGTGAATGATTTGTTGTTCAATACAGCTGATGACCTAACGAGAAATGCCGAAAACGTATGCATGCCCAAGATTCTTACATTGCATGCCAATGCCATGGACCCACTTTTGCTGTTCATATTTCTATTTTTATAACTGGTGCCGTCAGAAGTTGTCCAGCCGTTTAGCTAAATGGCAGTGTCGACACCATTAGGGGTATTAGGGTACCCATGGTACGTACATCGCACAATAATCACCGTGAATGAATCGCCAGGGACGGATACTGTATAGGGATCTTGTATTGGCGTGACATGCTTTTTGTTCTAGCCTTGCAGTGCGTATTTCTCGTTTCTTTTCGATACCACTGAGAGGGCAGGCTTGCGGCTCATATCAATAATTGAGGTCAGTATGGCTTTCCACTGGCCACTTGAGCGGGTTCGGTGCGGATTTTTAGCACTCAGCCGGCTTTGGTGCATATTTTCCGGCTCTGTTCGAAGCATTGGTGCGGATTTTGAACTTGGGCAGGTGCGCTCGTCAACCTGCGAGCCAGACTTTGCAGACTGGGGCACCGGGGCACCGTACCCCCTTTTGGCATTTTAATATTAGCCCTATGGGCGTTGCATGGAAAGAATGGGACCAAAAGTTGGCAGTATCCCCCCTCCCATCCCCCTTTATTGAAGGTGTTCCGCCGCCACTGTATGGAACCTACAGTGAAATTCGTGTTAATATCAAGACGTGGAGAGTCTAGTGGCTTTTACAAATGGGTGACAGCTTGTGAGCTGCCTGCTATTGATTAACTAAATAACTGGGACCTGGGTCCAGGCTGCTGTTTCAGCACATTGATGCCATCTATTGGTAGCTGGTAGGTATTTGTGCTCAGGCTTGCTTGGAAATGGTAGGTTCCTACCTATGATGTCATGCGACTTGAGGCAAAGCAGGTTTTCCGTTTTACCCAACCAGTACATTCCAGCAAATCCAGTAAAATTCATTAGAAGAGTCACCAGTAAATAAGTTTGACTAGAGGCACTGAAACAGGCCCCCAATCTTTCCTGATCTTACCTCACACGGGCCCAGCACTAGGGATAGCATTAGCAATCCCGGAAATTTTGCGAATCTCGGGATCCCGAAAGTTTTTAGGTCGGGATCGACCCAGGATCCTGGTCTTCTCACAAAATGTCGTAAGGATGATTTCTACTGACAGATTTTGCGTTTTTAGCTTACAACAAATAAAGAGGCAACCAAAAGCCATTCTTGGACAATGTCCTTTGCATTAAAAATGATTGAATTTGTGGAGAAAGCAATTTCAACTTGAATAGCATTTATTCCCAATTGGCCGTTATAGAACTGTGCGTCGACCAGTGCGTTTACTGTCTCGTCATTTAGACGGGTTCCGACACCTCTACGCCTCACGCACTCTGCCTCTGCGTCTACGCTAGTTGGCACGACAGTTTTAAGCCATTGCTGGTAAATCTGTCTATTGTAAAACTCGCGGCCTGTGTACGCCAAATTTGGCAGTTCCCTATTTCACAATGTTTTCAAGACGTTGCTTGGTCATTTCACCATCTTCCGGCTCCGCTTTTATCAATCATCTCTCTCAGACTGCACCAAAGTCGCTTTGAGGGCAGAGTCGCTGACTGGGCGAGCTCCACTCTGCCGTCTTCAAAGTCTGAATCAGCGAACTCTGCCGTCACTTGCGTGACATCTGTGACATCTTTCTGTGTCACGAGCTAAACGACTGTCTCGATGACCTCTTTTGTTCCGGCCACGGACGGACAAGTCATAATCGCAGGTGAACGATCCGTGCTCCTGATGAAGATGCTGCAGCACTGATCTGTTTTTTTTTTGGCGTTCGGGGACCTTTTTTCGTACGGATTTAAGCGACTTAATCGCAGGGGTGATCCCCAGGAGCTACCAACACGGTCGATTGTGGACGGCTGAGACGGGCCACGGGGTGCCAGCTAAATAGTTTCTCTGCTTTGTCACGGAGTATTATGAACAGTTTGAACATGACCTGTGCAGTGGCTGTATCCTGTTTTACTGATTTTTTCGCGATCCCGGGATTGGCGAAATTTCGGGATCGGGATCGGAATTAAAATCCCGCCGGGATCCCGGGATACCGATCCCGGGATTGTAATATCTACCCAGCACTTACTTGCTACCTACATTACACCTACTCCTCCAATCACTATACCTAAGAACCGTGCAAGTAGAGTCCCTGATCCTCAAGTCCATCTCTCCACAAAGTCCTTCATTGAGGAATGTTTTTGTTTCCTTCTTCTTTTCACAGATGGGTGATGAGGAGCATGCTGTTGTGCAGCTGGTGTCTGCTGGTGGTCCTGAGTTTATCTCGGGGCTGGGCTACACGTTTCAGCTCCAGGATGGCAGCCAGGTATGACCAATCACTGCCAGACACGATTTTATTCAGTTTGAACTCACTGACAATGAGAACAGCTTGTCATTAGAAGACAGATTTAGAGTAATATGGATTATGTTTCACGTTTTGCATCATCGTCGCTCCCTGTTCCACCGCCCTCCCTCTGGCCGCCAGGTGCTGATCAGTGGCGACTCGAAGCTGGCCGACGGCGGCGACAAGGGCGACGAGCCGAGCGCGGCGCTGTCGGCGGCCGAGACGGCCGAGGTGTGCGCCGCCGGCGGACAGTCGGCGCTGCCGCTGGACGCCCAGCCGGAGGGAGCCGACGCCGCAGGAGCCGTCCCGGTCGACCCCATAGATGGTCCGTGAACGCAGGGGGTGGTCTGAGAGAGACAGGGGATGATATGAGGATCAGGTCTTCTTTGTATAATTTTCGTGTTTAGTTCTTTTTTTGGAATCCGGCGAAAAGAAATAATGACAGGCAAACTTTGTTTTTGCATGCAGCGGCGCACCTGGGCTATTTTATATTATCGATGATATTCTGAGAATTTCCGACAACTCTGTAAAAGTCCTAACTGAACTCCCAGTCAGTCAGCCCCGCTCACCCCGTCCCCGTGCCCTCTCGGCAGTGAGTGCGGCGGAGCGCGCGGCTCCCTGCGATGCCGCGCGGCCGGGCGTGGCGGCCGGCCGGCGCCGCGTGGCCGTCGTTCTCAGCGAGGAGGGCGTGGCCACGGCGGTGCCACTGCAGTCGGTGGTCGAGGCCGGCCTCAGCCAGCGTGTGCTCTTCCAGGAGAACGGCCAGCCGGTGATCCTGGAGGTGCTCGACCAGGAGTCGGAGCCGCCGCCATCGCAGGTCAGTGTCCTCTGTCCGCCGGCGGAGTGGAGGACTACTGCCCACTGCCTCTGAACAGTGGGCGGTATTGGTAGTCACAGGCGCGGAGGCACCCTCCCTCTGAATAGCAGTGTTTGATAAAGGCGGGGTTAGTTACGGGCGGACGCACCCTCCCTCCACCCTTGGACGGCAGTGGGCAGCAGCAATTCTCCGTGAATGGGGGCTGAATGCTGTTGCCTGGCAACAGAAATACGCTGGCGCGGCTTTCGTCTCGCCTAATGTAATTTTCTCCCTGGGTCGCTCATTTTAGCATTTGTGGTTACACTGAGTGGCAGTGGCCCATATGTTTTCCAGAATGCTATGTAATTATGAATTTTATTTTGTGTGAGCAACGCCAAAAAAATACCGAATTTTATCCATGATGAAGTTGTCGCGCTTTCTGTGTAATTTTCCACTCACACGAAGGATGCAATGGTTGATATGGCACTCTATTCTCCATACCGTGCTTATGTGTTGTTAAACATTATTCCCCCTTCTCCTTCGCCTGCCTATTCTATGCATATTTCTGTTCTTATCCGGCATCTCAAAGCGAATCGACGGTTTACATGCTGCGATTCACCGTATTATTCCTGACCGTTGACCGCTACTGGGCTGCGGACATCTTAGTCGTACATCCGATAGGCAAAGATGCATCCCTGATTAGGTAGCAGGTCCTGATGTTCGATGTGTGGTTGTTAATAGTCCCCTCGGGGTTGTGCGCCTCACTGTATCCGCGGCCCGGAGTAGCGATTCTGTACCGCTGACGCCCGCGCGGCCGGTGTTCCCGTGTACCCCAGTCGAGTGGCGACGTATCACGGCCGTCCCCTCCGGCCTCCCGCTCCTGGCTGAGCAAGAAGGAGCGCGGAGCCGGCGCCGGACAGAGGAAGACGGGCATGTGGAGCCGAGAGGAGGTGGAGACGCTGTCGGCCAACATGCAGCAGTACTGTCGGGTCAGTCCACTGTCCATGTCCAGTGTCCACTGTTCGCGAGCACAGTCCACTCATCACCGGCTACCATCTACCTCCCGTCCACTGGGCGCCCCCCCCATTCACCACCCATTGTCCGCCGCCCCCACCAGGATCGTCCCCAGTCCACCGTCCACTGTCCACGCTCCACCGTCCACCGTCTACGGTCCAATATCCACCGTCCACCGTCCACCGTCCCCAGTCCATCATCCCCAGTCCATCGTCCCCAGTCCACTGTCCACGCTCCACCGTCCATCGTTCATGTGCCGTCCACCGTCTATAGTCCACCGTCCATCGTTCATGTGCCGTCCACCGTCTATAGTCCACCGTCCATCGTTCATGTGCCGTCCACCGTCTATAGTCCACCGTCCATCGTTCATGTGCCGTCCACCGTCCATAGTCCACCGTCCATGTGCCGTCCACCGTCCATCGTTCATGTGCCGTCCACCGTCTATAGTCCACCGTCTATAGTCCACCGTCTATAATCCACCGTCCATAGTCCACCGTCCATAATCCACCGTCTATAGTCCACCGTCCATAGTCCACCGTCTATAGTCCACCGTCCACCGTCCATAGTCCACCGTCTATAGTCCACCGTCCATGCTTCCGTGGCTGGTTGCTAGTTGACTTGTTTTCCTATTTTAGCTGCTGTAATAACATGCAGTTTTTTATGAGGAATTTGATATCGACGTCGTGCTGTTTGGTAGGAATTATGTTCATGTCAAAGATCACAATATTGATACTTCTTGGCATTTATTTTCGTCAGGATGCGAATAACACGTTTCTGGCACTATGTCTCCAATAAAGTCGTATATTTGGACCGTATTGTATACGCATTTGCCGGGCCGGCCAGTAGGTATCCAATGAGAGGCAGAATTCGTTGGTGTGGTATTGACTTTCATTTTACATTATTTTTTATGTTATTGTCATTTTTCATATTGCAGGAGCGAGGAATTGACAACCCGGAGGACATCATCTTTCGGTGCTCGAAGGACGAGCGGAAGAATTTCTACCGAACTGTGGCGTGCGGCATCAACCGGCCGCTGTTCTCCATTTACCGGCGCATTATCAGGTCGGTCCGGCGGCGGCCCTTTTAGCCCATCTATGGCCCATCACATCCCGGCCTGTGCGGCGTGCGCCGCCTGTGGGGTTTATCCGAGTCGATTTGGCATTCAGCATCAGTTTTGCAAGCGCTGGTCACAGAATGCTTACTTATCACTGGAATTTCCATTTAGTCAAATACGGTCACTGTGCAGAGCTCCCAGCTGTTTCAAAGAGGCAAGATCAATGCCTATGTAGTCGGCACTTCGTCGATCGTGGCAAATCCGTAGCTCACCGCATCACTGCATGTACACCGCGCGTGTCCTGTGCTATCTCTGGGTCACAATGTCGGGCACAACCGATGAAATCTTCGAAAACTAGTTCGGCCTTAGACTTAATATGAACGGGTAGCCATATACAGGGTGTTTCACAATTAACGTTACAAGATCAAAGCTCAATATCTCTGGGCATAATGACTTTATTTACGCAAAAATTGCACCATATGCACCCAAAACCACAGAGACCAACATCCTTAAGTCCTACTCGAAGTGGCCGCCTCCAGCCTTCACAGCGGCAGCCAACCGTCTCCTGAAGTCACGGACTGCGGCACGCACAACCGCGTCGGGGATCTTCTGCCAGGCGCTGATCAGAGATCGCTTGAGATCGTCGATCTTCTTGTGCGATTTGGAGCAGGCTTCCTTCTCGAGCACGGACCACATCGTGTAATCCATCGGATTTAGATCTGGGGATGATGGGGGCCACTGGTTCTTGGTGATGAAGTTTGGGCAGTTGTCTTCGCACCACACTGATGGGTGACGCGCGCGGTGTGGCTTGTTGCGCCGTCCTGCTGAAAAGTCCAGCCCTTGTCTCCGTACGTCTTCTTGGTCCACGGCTTCAGCGTCTGTTCAAGGATGGTCTCGATGTAGGTTTCTTTGTTGATTTTTACGCCCTCGGGCACAAAAACCAACGGCGACTTTCATCCTCAGGCGCGGGTGTGGACTTGTGTGGCGGCGCGAAGGTACTGGACTCGAATGACCTCTAAGACTGCACGGAGGGTCAAGGTCTGTGCCCCCTGGCGACCGACAGCTGTTGCGGAGTTTCATGCACTAGTGCCCCCGATCCGCATCGCGGCGGGCCGCAGGGGGCACGCGTTAATCCACCCACACATCCCAGCCGCCAGGTCGGCTCGCCGGCCGGCACGCAAGTCACCTTTCTGACACGAGGTAGGAAATGACGTCATTGCCATTGAAGCCTGTGCGTTGAAGACTTGAAATTCATACAGGAGGTGCGTAATAGATACCTGTTGACTACACCACGCAGCCATGTACAGCCGTCTTCAAACAGGTCCGCGAGCAACAAGCTTATCACACAGGCTCTAATCCTGATATTCGAGATAATCGCAGACTCGGACCTCATTTGGATCAGTCTTTCATCTGCTACACCCATTATCTGTCCAAGGGGCATTCAAAATGCAATGAACCAGGACCAGAATTATGTGCTCTTTCCAATGGTGTATAGTGTTTTCTGAAAAACCACCTTTAAGTGCACCAAAATTGAGTGGGAACTCTTGTAACGGTAATTGTGAAACACCCTGTAAATTAAAGTGACTGCCAAATCAAAACTTTGCTGTCTTAAATGATGGGTGGTAGGTAACCAAAGATTGTCTCGTGGCAGTTTCGATATCAGAGGAAGCAGAAACTCAGTTTTTCTCGAGCATCGCTAACGTTAGTTTATCGGATCATTGTGAGAATCTGTCGCTGGAAAAGTAATTGAAATTACTACCCATAACACTTATCACTAGTTCGAATCGACGACAGACAATTAATCGGTTCCCTCTATTGATAATCTACTAACGCTGTTCGTTATTTGGGGCAGTGATGGTTCTGTGCGGACGTTTTTAATGTTTCCCGGGTCGGAGCATTGTTTCGTGCCTCTCCGGCGGCCGCGCTGCGCCGGTCTCGGCCGTAGCGTCGGTTGGTTGGCTGGCACCGAGTCGCTCCGTCACTGATCTATCGGACGGACGCAGAGTCGGTCGGTCGGTCAGTCGGTCATAGTTGCACGGTTGCGAGTTTGTCTGTCGATTGGTCGGTCGGTCAGACGTGGTATTACCGATCGGAGAGTCTCTGCCGGTCGGTCGGCCGGTCTGTTCTGTTGGTTCCGTCTGAAGGCGGCCAAATCCACCAATTGCGGCGGAGAGGGGAGAGAGGCACGATTCGGTGAGTTGCTCGGGGAGGAGAGCCATGAACGTGAGTGAGCCGCCGACGCTGGCTGAGGCCGTGAGTGACCTGCCAGCGCTGGCTGAGGCCGTGAGTGAGCTGCCAGCGCTGGCCGAGTCTGAGAGTGAGCTGCCAGCGCTGGCCGAGTCTGAGAGTGACCTGCCAGCGCTGGCTGAGGCCGTGAGTGAGCTGCCAGCGCTGGCCGAGTCTGAGAGTGAGCTGCCAGCGCTGGCCGAGTCTGAGAGTGAGCTGCCGGCGCTGGCTGAGGCCGTGAGTGACCTACCGACGCTGGCTGAGGCCGTGAGTGAGCTGCCAGCGCTGACTGAGGCTGTGAGTGAGCTGCCGCCGGCGCTGGCCGAAACCGTGGGCCGGTGCTCGCGGGAGACGCTGCGGACTCTGAGCTGCCGCCTGCTGCCCGGCGCGGCGGGGAACGATAGCGGGCCGGTCGGACTGGTGTGCGCCACCCCTCCGGGCGACCGGAGCGCCGCGCTGCTGGCGACGCTGACCGGGCTCACGGCGCTGATCGTGCTGCTGGTGCTGCTGGTCAACCTGCTGACCATGCTGACGCTCTACCGCACCCGGAAGCTGCACACGCTGATGAACTCGCTGGTGGCGTTCATGTGTCTGACCAACCTGCCTCTGTGCCTGTCCACCGGTCTGACTCCGTACCTGATCAACCACCGCGCCCAGGCGCTCTGCCGGCTCCGCCACGGGGCCATGGAGGTGTCCCACTGCGGCGCCTTCGTCACCGTGGTGCTCATCACCGTGCTGCGCTACCTGATGGTGGTGCACAACCGGCGGTTCGCGCCATCGCGCGCCAACGTGCTGCGTGCTCTGGCCGCGCCGCTACTGGTGGCCGCCGCGCGCAACCTGCCGCTCTTTGACGACATGTATGCCAAGTGCGGCGACACGTTCGGACACACCACCGACGGCTTCGTCATCGTCGTCAACCGGCCGGCCACGACGTCGACGCCGATGCTGATCGGGCTGGTGGTGTTGTACAGCGTGGGCCTGCTGCTGATGGCGCTCAGTCACGCGCGGATTCTGGCGGCGACGGTTAGCTCGCGCCGGAGACTGCGAGCTCACCGGCGTACCGGTCGGCGACACTCGCTCAGACGGCCCAAAGTTCCCAGCGTGTGGAGTTTGCAAGTGGGCGACGGGAACCGGCCGGCGCAGACGGCGGACCGTGCTTCTGGAGAGAAGGGTGCACAGCGCGCGGCTGCGAACGGCGGCGGAGACGGCGGGAGCGGGGAGGCGGCCGTGCCGTGGTGGCGGTGTGCCACTCTGACGAGGCTCGGCTCGCCGTCCCACCCGCGGCTGCCGCCAGTGGAGGAGGTGGACGCCGCCACTGCCTCCGGACGCGGTCCGGCGCCGCCCGCTGTTGGCGGTAGGACGGGAGCGGTACCCGACACCGGCCTCCGGAACCGGGCCAACGGCAGCGCGGCGGCCGGCGGCGGCGCCAGCTCTGGTGCCTGCGGAGGAGAGTACAGCATCAGCGCCGCTGATGGCACCAACAACCCTGGTGCCGCTGCGAGAAGCAAGAGCAACACCAGCGCCGCCAGCTTGGGCCGGGGTGTCGGTGCCGCCGTGGCCGGCCCCAGCACAAGCACCAACATGAGCGCCTCGGAGGCGGGCCCCAGCTCGGGCTGCGGCAGAACGCCGCGGGGTCGCTGACGCTGCGGGCCGACCGGCTGACCGCCTACGGCGCGCGGCCGGGCGCTCCGCCGGCGGCGGCGGCGGGGCCGCGACACCGGGTGGACGTGGTGGCCAGCGCGGCGCTGCTCTGCTGCATGGCCGTCTACGTGCTGGCCTACGCGCCGTTCGTGGCGTTTATCGTGGCCGAGCGGCGTCTGAGCTGCGTGCTGCTGCCGCCGCTGCGCATCGTCTCCTGGCTGCTGTTCAACTGCAGCGTGGGCCTGACGGCCGTGCTCAGCCCGCTCACATTCGTCATCTTCAACGGCGAGTTCCGGCGCGCCTTCCGACGCACGTCGCAACCGTGCGCCGCTGAGACGGCGGCGACGGTACGGTACTGCTCAGACGGCGGAGACGGCGGAGACGGCGGAGCGCCGCCGAAATCGTGGGCCGCTTGGTTTTTAGGCGGCGATACCAGCATACCAGGCGCCGAGTGATTGTGTCTCGTGTATTGTATCTGCTCTGCTCACTCGCTTTTTTGTCCACTTCTCAATGGTGTTGGCATGGATGCCGACGACGGTGTATCTAATAAATGTTTCTTACATCATGAACTTGGGTCATCGATTAGTCTTACAAACTACAGAACTTTCGAGATGATGCTAACCTTTCGGTGCAGCCCAGCTACGGACTTAAGGCTATAGAGCACTGCAAAAGCAATAAGACCTTAAGCTGTCAATGATGTCCACATGGTTGTTGACACTGACAGCATTATTGATAACGCTTTCGTTGAATACGTAACACTTTCACGAGATCGGAATGAACGCAATTAACCAAGGAGTCGATTGCATAACGGATATATCTGCAAAATTAATGGCTGACAGTTACTACGTTTCCATGACACGTCTAAATCGATGTAGCGAAATTTCACGTGCGTTTTTCTAGGAAACTATTTAGCTTATGTAAAAAATGAGCGTATATATGGTTTTAGCTAGCACCTAATCCTATAATTACATTTTTAAATTATGCCTAAACGCTATGATGGAGCAAATCCCTTTTTCAAAATCGGCTTAGCTTGTGCCATGGAAACGTAGCCAATGGCACCAAGTTATGAAATATGGCGATTGAGACCAAGACAGCGAACTTCCCGGGCAACCCAATGTGTATCGGTAACTCGCTTCAGTACCGCACTGGGCGTCGAAACGCAGGGTGCAATATCAGTAGTGAAGCCTAAGTGAAGGCGGGAGTTGGCATTATTGTCATGTGCATCAAATGTTGATGTGTATGTTGGTGACATTATCATGTTGACTGAATTTGTCATGTTGTATATGTACCGACCTGGTGCGAAATAAATGTTATTATTATTATTATTATTATTATTAAATGAAACGCCGGTTATTGCGATATCTTCCTTCTGGCATCTTTTCTTTTGAAAATATACCGAATGCTGCTTAGTGGTTGCCTTCAGCCGCGAATGGCAGAGCTTGCATCAAATCGGGGCCAAAAACATTGACGTCAATGCGAACGTTTTCATCAGCGATTCCGGAAAGGACTTATAGGTCGCTGCGGGCAAGCTGCGGGTTGGCTGCGGGAGCCTACTCGCCAAAAGTTTAATCTTCAAGGAAGTCCTGTCTTGTAAACTGCTTGGGGTATTGTACATTTCGTGGAATGTTATTGCACTTACTAAAAGTTTGCTTTGTTGCTCGTCGAAGATGATTGGAAGGAGATCGAATGTGTAAAAAAGAATACCATGATTTCTTATATGGAACGTCCGGGAAAGGAACCGTGGTCAGTGCAATGTAAAAACATGGAAGCCAAGAGGATGATTGGCTGAAGCAAACTCAATCAGTTAAATGTATAGATAGGTATGTAATACATCTCAAAAGCAGACAGATCAATCGATGAGCTAGAGATGGAATGAAATTGAAATGACATTGGGAATGATTGTGGTTACGTCTAATGATGACACGTCTAATAAAAGTTAGTACCTAACGCTTGCATTGACAAGGTCAAAGCTGACCTCAGGCGATCTCAGATGACCTTCGATGACCTGGGCGTATGATGGATCTTGATTCGTGAATTCGTGTAGTACTTATCATTACATAACCTCAAGCATACAATAATTTGCCTGACCTTGACCGCATGGCTCCCGAGTCCCGGAGCAACAACACCCACTGATCCTCTCACTTCCAATGCGGAAATCGCATTAAAAAAGATGGAAATCTCACTGAGGTCGCCACAAAGGCCGATTTCGGCCTAATATGTCCTGACATCTGGTATGACGTCGCAACTCGGTGACCTCGCGAAATAAGAATGGTGAAGCCTGGATTTCGGCCGGGTCTGTCGACCCATCTTGGAGATATTCACTGCAACCCCTTTAGGTGTTGCATCAACTCCATGCCGGCAAAGGTTAGATCAGGGATTATATCGAAACTGAACATCGAGTAAACTATGGGATAGGTCTAGGTACACATTGCCTCTTGCGATTCGTATCAAGAATTGTTTTCTATTAAAAACAATATTTTGTTGTGCGGTCATGCGCATCGTGACTGTCCATATTGGCGCCAGTGTCCGGAAAATGCGACACGAATTGGCCGTCAGGAAATCACGCGTTCCCTTCCTCCCTCCGCTGCCCCCTCTGCGACCCTGCACAATGACCGACCACAATGACCGACCACGCCCGTACTGACCTCCCCTACCTGCCCTCGGGGGGTGGGGTGGGGGGAGGGGCACTCTCCCCGTCCACTGCGCGTGCTCAGTCTAAGGTCAGGCGTGAGGTGCCGCCCTGGACAGGTCGGTCCCAGCCTGCCGGTCCCCTCTACCGACAGTCCCTCGGGGGTCGGTATATAAGGTGATACCGGCGGCGACAGGACACCAGTCAACCCACAGACAGACATCCCCACACCGGGACAGCAGGCGCGCCATGCGGACCCTGATCTCTGCCGCTCTGCTGGTGGCCGCCGCCGCCTCCACCCACGGTGGAGGGCACGGCTACGGCGTGCCCACGTCCTACAAATTCTCCTACGGGGTCAGCGACCCGCACTACGGCCCCAAGTACTCTCACAGCGAGAGCGGTGACGGCAAGTACCGGCAGGGCCACTACAGCGTCAAGCTGCCGGACGGTCGCACCCAGCACGTCAGCTACCGGGCCGGCGGCTACGACGGCTACAACGCCCGGGTCACCTACTCGGGCTACGGCCACGGAGGGCACGGTGGGCACGGCGGATACGGCGGTGGACACGGTGGATACGGCGGATACGGCGGTGGACACGGCGGATACGGCGGTGGACACGGTGGATACGGCGGTGGGTACGGTGGTGGACACGGTGGATACGGCGGTGGACACGGTGGATACGGCGGTGGATATGGATATCATTAGTTGTGTTCAACAATTGTGTGACAGGGGCTCTAATAAATGTTCTTAAAACCAATGCCAGCATACGCAACTTCAGGATATTTATTCTACGGTGACTGAGCTCGGATTGAGTAACGGGCTGGGCTGCCCGCTGTTGTGAACCTTGGCAGCGATTATTTTCCGCCTTTCTCTAATCCAGCTCTACTATTCCTGCTCCAGCAATCTGATTGTTTGGCGTCCGTAGACAGCTCTGCTGATGCTAACCACTCAGCCCAGCCGTACGAGAGGACTTGTGTACGAGAGGACTTGTGGTTCACTTTTGTGTGTCTCGAATCTCGATAGTGTTTTCTTGAAACCTATCGCTTCCAAATGATTATGAATGTCTGTTCTGATTGTGCTCGTTTGAATACATGTGTAAATACTCAGCTGGATAACGTTGAGCTCTTGTGACGGATGCAGTGTAGATGTTCGTGTAGCGTCGGTACCTTACACTGATCGATAGAATTAGAAGATCAGCGCTGTGACCTATCTTGTGCTCCCTGCCTAAGGGTCTCCTTGTCCTTATGAATAAAAAACTGCCTTTTATACAGCTTTTCCGCTTACGTTGTTATATATTTTAGCCGTGGTTTACTTATGTTACCTACATGAAGTTGCCGTGACCTCACCTCAAGAGTAACGTACGTACATTCTTGCCCTACCTGCACCGATAAGGTTTCCTTAAAACTCGAAGTGATTGATATTGTTGCCTTCGTGGCTCAGGACTTACATATTAGGTACATTCGGTGTGATACAATCTGGTTATTTATTTACAGACACATACATTATCTGATGCAGATAATTGTAACGAATATGAAAAGGTCTTGCGATTTCCGTGCCGAATCAGATCGTTGATGACTGACCTTGTCAACTGAAAGCATTTGCACATAATCTGCTCAGCGGCAATGCATTATCCCTCGCTTCGGGGATGTCCTTATAGAGATGTGCTCACTGCTCAGTTCTGGCACCCTGACCTTCACTAAGCTCAAGCACCCTGACTAAGCTCATTCAGAGGAATATGACAATGGATGCGATAAAAATATTGAGCATGTACATTATTATGCCAAATAAAGCGAAATAAAAAATAAGCGAAATAAAACAATCTAAAAGGTACTTAGCCTAAATTAGAGAATATATTATCATGATTTGCCGTTCTTCTTTTATCGTCAAACCTCCTGGTCACACTGGATGAAGCATGACAAAAAAAATGTTTATGACGCAAGTTTGAAAGACAACTAAATAGCGTGACAAAATCACAAAACAAGCCTAATTAGCTGTCTCGGTTACCGACACACCCGCGGCTGTCTTTCACCGATTCCCTGGCAGGGAAACCAGTGACGTTTGGTGCGTTTGGCTGATGGATCTGCCACATGATCTTTCTGTGACCTCCAGTCCACAGTCCACCCATATCTCCGTCGTCTGGAGGCTGGAGCCACTGTTCCCTTCCCCTCCAGTCGCCATCGAACTCTCCTAACTCGCCTCCCCGCATCTCCCAGGATGTACGACCACAAGAACCACGTGGGTCGCTACACGGAGGACGAGGTGGAACAGTTGCGAAACCTGCGCGCCATCCACGGCAACCGCTGGGGCACCATCGGCGCGCTGATGGGCCGCTCGGCTGCCTCCGTCAAGGACCGTGTGCGCGTACTGCGCGACAACTGCAATCAAGGCGAGTCCCCCCCCCGCCCCGCCCTCCCCGCCGGGGGGACGTAGGGCGAGTCCTATTCCCCGCCGGGGAGACATAAGGCGAGTCCCCCCCTCCCCGCCGGGGAGACGTAAGGCGAGTCCCCCTCCCCGCCGCCGGGGAGACATAAGGCGAGTCCTATTCCCCGCCGGGGAGACATAAGGCGAGTCCTATTCCCCGCCGGGGAGACATAAGGCGAGTCCCCCCCTCCCCGCCGGGGAGACGTAAGGCGAGTCCCCCCCCCCTCCCCGCCGGGGAGACGTAAGGCGAGTCCCCCTCCCCGCCGCCGGGGAGACATAAGGCGAGTCCTATTCCCCGCCGGGGAGACATAAGGCGAGTCCTATTCCCCGCCGGGGAGACATAAGGCGAGTCCCCCCCTCCCCGCCGGGGAGAGGTGGGATATGGCTGCCCGGGACGGTGCTGCGGACAGGGCATTGTGGGGTGTCGTATGGTTGTGCGTCTCGTTACATTTATTCCTTATATGATGATTGGTTTCTATGGTTCCATTATTCGACATAATTTTTTTACGGGCCAACGTGATCAGTGCTATGATTGTATTCTTACAAGTGCGCTGTGACTGCTGCGCCCCCCCCCCCGCCCTCCCCCAGCCCCACCTTGTCAGGGAATTGGCTACCTGTACTGTGACAGAAATAGACCCTCCTTGACGGTAAACGACTGATTTTACCCTGACAGTCTAACTGCTCCCCGCTGACAGATAGTGTAACTGATTCAGGTAGCATAACTACATAACCCCCTCTTACAGATAATATGACTGGCTCAGATAGTATGAATCTCCACTGATAGGTAAATGACTGGCTGTATTCTGACTGTACTGTGACAGTCTGACTGTTCCACGCTGACAGCTAGTATATCTGACTCAGTATGACCGCCCTCCTGTTCTCCGACGCGGGCATGTAGTATCGCTGGCTCTGGGCTCAGGTAGTGTGACTGTCTGACTGTTAGTATAACCGTCCCCCCCTCTCTGACAGGTAAATGGCTGAAGGAGGAGGAGGAGCGGCTCGAACAGGCCGTGTACGATCTGACCGAGACGCTGCCCGGCCAGCCGGTCACCTCGGGTATCAACTGGGCGGCCGTGGCGCAGCAGGTAACCTCCCACCAATATACCCTGCCTCCCACCACCTCCGTCAGTGGAGATACCCGCGGGACCCGCCACTGACCGTGTATAGCCCGCCGTACCGCCCCTCTGTCTGTAGGGGAGACACCCGCGGCCCCCGGCACTGACCGTGTATAGCCCGCCGTACCGCCCCTCTGTCTGTAGGGGAGACACCCGCGGCCCCCGGCACTGACCGTGTATAGCCCGCCGCACCGTCCCCTGTATGTAGGGGAGATACCCGCGCCCCCGACACTGACCGTGTATAGCCCGCCGCACCGTCCCCTGTATGTAGGGGAGATACCCGCGCCCCCGACACTGACCGTGTATAGCCCGCCGTACCGTCCCCTGTCTATAGGGGAGATACCCGCGCCCCCGACACTGACCGTGTATAGCCCGCCGTACCGCCCACTGTCTGTAGGGGAGACACCCGCGGCCCCCGGCACTGACCGTGTATAGCCCGCCGCACCGTCCCCTGTATGTAGGGGAGATACCCGCGGCCCCCGGCACTGACCGTGTATAGCCCGCCGCACCGTCCCCTGTATGTAGGGGAGATACCCGCGCCCCCGACACTGACCGTGTATAGCCCGCCGCACCGTCCCCTGTATGTAGGGGAGATACCCGCGCCCCCGGCACTGACCGTGTATAGCCCGCCGCACCGTCCCCTGTATGTAGGGGAGATACCCGCGCCCCCGACACTGACCGTGTATAGCCCGCCGCACCGTCCCCTGTATGTAGGGGAGATACCCGCGGCCCCCGGCACTGACCGTGTATAGCCCGCCGTACCGCCCCCCTGTCTGTAGGGGAGACACCCGCGGCCCCCGGCACTGACCGTGTATAGCCCGCCGTACCGCCCCTCTGTCTGTAGGGGAGACACCCGCGGCCCCCGGCACTGACCGTGTATAGCCCGCCGCACCGTCCCCTGTATGTAGGGGAGATACCCGCGCCCCCGACACTGACCGTGTATAGCCCGCCGCACCGTCCCCTGTATGTAGGGGAGATACCCGCGCCCCCGACACTGACCGTGTATAGCCCGCCGTACCGTCCCCTGTCTATAGGGGAGATACCCGCGCCCCCGACACTGACCGTGTATAGCCCGCCGTACCGCCCACTGTCTGTAGGGGAGACACCCGCGGCCCCCGGCACTGACCGTGTATAGCCCGCCGCACCGTCCCCTGTATGTAGGGGAGATACCCGCGGCCCCCGGCACTGACCGTGTATAGCCCGCCGCACCGTCCCCTGTATGTAGGGGAGATACCCGCGCCCCCGACACTGACCGTGTATAGCCCGCCGCACCGTCCCCTGTATGTAGGGGAGATACCCGCGCCCCCGGCACTGACCGTGTATAGCCCGCCGCACCGTCCCCTGTATGTAGGGGAGATACCCGCGCCCCCGACACTGACCGTGTATAGCCCGCCGCACCGTCCCCTGTATGTAGGGGAGATACCCGCGGCCCCCGGCACTGACCGTGTATAGCCCGCCGTACCGCCCCCTGTATGTAGGGGAGATACCCGCGCCCCCGACACTGACCGTGTATAGCCCGCCGCACCGTCCCCTGTATGTAGGGGAGATACCCGCGGCCCCCGGCACTGACCGTGTATAGCCCGCCGCACCGTCCCCTGTCAGCGGCTGATGTCCCCACCGTCTTTAAAGGCTTCAAGTCCGACTTTAAATCCGGCTCTGTGTCGCTTAGACGTAACTCTACCAGGTGGCCACATTCTGTGGAGATTATTTTTAATAGAACCTCGCTGTGAGAGCGTTTCCCTAAATCGCGTTCACACATACGGGCATAGTTGGCGCATACATATGCATATGTTTTTTAACGTATGTATATGCGGACACGATGAGTCCGCTTCACTTTTATTTTATAATTTTATCTACTATGTTAAAACCAGTAGAACGCCTTTTGGAGCGACAAACGAGCGGGCGAGAGGGTGAGCCTTGCACGTGCGAAATTGCGAGGGGTATGTAATCCCAAATGAGTTATGCCCGGCACCCAGAAAGGTTT